AAGAGGAGGGGTCACAAGTGTCAGATTTTGGAATCTGATGGCAGATCTTATATGTAACAGATATATGTGGGTCTGACTCTTAGGAGGGCTCTGCTGACCTTAGACTAGTAGAAGTTTGAGGAAACAAAGCTAGAAATAATATATGGGGAATCACGTTGGCGCTGAGCGCGGGCGAGCCCTGGTCGCGGGCCTGCAGCGTCAGCTCGAAGGCGCGCAGCTGCTCGTGGTCGAAGGCGCGCTGCGCGAACACCACCCCGCTCTGCGGGCTCACGGACACGTAGGACAGCAGCGCTCTAGGCTCCAGGTCGCTGGCCACGATGGAGTAGGAGACCTGGCCGTTGGGTCCCGAGTCAGGGTCGAAGGCTCTGACTTGCGCAATTGAGGCTCCAGGCAGATTGTTCTCAGCCACATGGACCGTGTAGGAGGTCTGCTGGAAAATGGGTGCATTGTCGTTGACGTCAGTGATGTGCAGGGTGACTCTTGTCTTAGAGGAAAGGGGTGGTTTCCCTTTATCAGTTGCTGTGAGGGTAATATTGTACTCCGAGATCTCCTCCCGGTTTAGGGCCTTCTCAATTACCAGCTTGTAATAATTCTTGGAGGTGAATTCTAATTTGAAGGGAACTTCTTCTTGAATATAGCACATCACCAAGCCGTTTTGCCCAAAGTCTTTGTCTGTCACTTTAATGAGGGCTATTATGGTTCCAAGGTCTGAGTCCTCTGGAACATAGTTAGAAAACGACATGAATGTCACCTCTGGGGCATTGTCATTTTCATCAACTATTTCAATGTGAACATTACAGTGAGCCGTGTGTACTCCTCCATCCTTGGCTTCCACACCCAAAATATACCTACTTCTTTCTTCAAAGTCCAATGTACCATTGGTTGTGATATCGCCGGTATTTGGATCTAGATTGAAGAGGAGGCTAGTACTTGTCGGGGCGTTGAGGAAGGCATAGGTGATCTGTGCATTAACATCCTCATCCTGGTCTGTGGCCGTGACCCGGAGCACGGAGGTTCCTGGAGGCATGTTTTCTTGCAGAGTAACTCTATATATGTCCTGACTGAACACTGGAGCATTATCATTGGCATCAGTAACCTTGATCCAGATCTGGGCGGTGCTGCTTAGAGGTGGGTCCCCACCATCAATGGCAGTCAAGATTAAATGATGGGAGCTCTGATGTTCCCTATCTAAGGGCTTTTCCAGCAATAATTCTGGGTATTTACTTCCATCAGGACTTTCTTTTGTTGACAGAGAGAAATGCTGATTGGCGTTGATGGTGTATACCTTCAGTGAGTTACTTCCTACATCTGCATCTTGTGCAGAATCCAGAGGGAATTTTACCCCTGGTAAGGCTGACTCACAGATTTCTAATTCAATGTTTTTTGCAATGAAACGTGGTGCATTGTCATTAATATCTTGGATTACAACAATCACATGGAAAATATTCATTGGATTTTCAGTGACTGTTTCAAATTCCAGTGCACACTCAGATTTTCTCCCACAAATCTTCTCTCTATCTATCCTGCTGTTCACTAACAAATCTCCACTCTTCACACTCACATTGAAATAATCCTCTGCACTAACCCGCAGTTTTCGAGCTGGCAACTCCTGGACACTGAGCCCAAGATCCTTGGCAAGGTTCCCCACCCGAGACCCCTTCGCCAGCTCCTCCGGAATGGAGTAGAGGATCGGTTGGGAAATGGCCCCGTAAAACAAAGAAAGCAGGAAGAGAAACAGTACCTGACTTTTCATTGTTTCCATTTCTCTGGAGCTCCCTGTGTTTCTTTATCTCTCTGGAAAGCTTCAAGGTCTCCCTGGGATTGTTTTTAAAGTCAGTGACAGCACCCTGGACTTCTTTGATTTCAGGCTATCATTTGTTTGTTAGGTATTTGAAGGTGCACAGGGAACAGTTACCCGGTTCTGCTATATGCAGGATAAAGCACTGGCTAGCCTCTTCCTGCAGAAATGAGAACCTTTCTCTTCCCTTTGGTCAACAGCGGCGCCCAGAGGTTGTCTTGGATAATTGCGGATTGCCCAGCTATTTATCCTCAATGTGTAAACTTGATTTTACTACTTTGTCTTTAAATTTGCTTGAAAGAACCAATTATTTGCATTTTCCCATAAATTTGACATTTCCTGGTTTGTCACCATCTCACAAACATCTTCATCATTTTATATTATTCTTTTTTCATTTCATGAAGCATAGCCATTTTTTCAGTTTTTGCGGGCCAAAGTATTTTCCAGTGATTTCACTGTATGATATTTATAAAATCAGGCGTGACTAATATATCCAAATAAGTGAATGGAATTTATTTACTTTTTTTCCTTTTATTGAGTTTATTGGTACATTTAAGGTACACAGTACAATTACGTTCATTATTGGGATCGTGTATCTTTACATGACAGGTCTTGGTTCTCATTTTTCCCCCCTTGTCCATGCCCTCCCTTCACCCCCTCCTCCCCTCCCCATTTACAAACACTTTATTTCCATTTTTTCATTTTGTCTGCTTTATTTACTTTTTAAGTGAACTATGATTCTTTCTTAAAATTCACCGGGATAACTTCTCTTATTTAGGATTTAAATTTGTCCATATACACGGAGTCTGATGTGCAGTCTTTGCAATAACAGAGGGAGTCAAGCCTCTGTGATTATTTTACTGTATTGCTTTCCTTTATAAAACACACTATTCCCAGTTCAGTAGAGCAGAGCTTAATTTTTCATTGAAGAGACCAACTTAATATTTGGATACATAAGCTTTTATAATACTGAAACTTGTGTAAGCCATATTTAGTTATATAAAACCAGTGCTTTCTTTTTATAGGAATGTATATGTAAAATTTGACAATTGCAATTCTCAGCTTCAGTGAATTTATACTATTAATGAATTAAATGAGTTTGACTTGATCACTGGTAAATATTGAAAGAATGTTGAGAGTTCTTAGATACTCCATTCAAAAACTCATCCTGGTCATGGATACTCAGGCAAACAAATCCTTTTATTTCAAGACCACTACCCAATTAGATACAATTAGTTTGATTTCATCCCACACACTTCATGTATTAGAAACCCAATCCCCAAATGACATGATGAATGAGATATGAATGAGTCATAAGAGCTCTGCCTTCATTAATGCATTGACCTATGAATGGATTGTCAAATGAATGGCTTTGCTGTAAAACCTGCTGTCTCTGGCTCACTTCTGTTTTGTCATTTGATGCCCATTGCATGGCTCTGCAAGAAAGTGCTATTAGATGCTGACTAGATGATGGCACCATGCTCTCAAATTTCCCAGCCTCCAGAACCAATGGCTAAGTAAACCTCTATTCTTTATGAATTATACAATCTTGGGTATTTTGTTATAGCAACAAAAATAGGCCTAGACAGATACCAACTCAGCAATTTCTTCTACTACTTTGCAATGCTTACTTATACTCCAGTTGAAAAGAGAATTATCTGTTTTCTTTCTCTGTAGCTTTTGCAGTACCAGGGATCAAACTCAGGACCTTATGTTTGCAATGCAGGTGCAATGCCACTGAGCTAAATCCCCAGCCTTATTATCTGTTTGCTATGACACTCTTTCATTTGTTTTCTTTAAGAAGCTTTCACAGAGACTGAGAAGCACCTCTTCCTTTTTACAAAATCCTCCTCAGAGGGCAATAAACAACACTCCAAGTCTCACAATGATAAATTGCAAGTGAACTTTCCACCTTCAAGCAAAAGGCTGAAATTAATGAGAGCACACACACACACACACACACACACACACACACACTTTAGGCACTAGAGGTTAAATTAATTGACTAATGTTTATATTTTTAATGTCCTTTAGATGAAAAGAGCATGGAGGTCTGGTTTGAAAGGAGAGCATAAAATATCTTGCATTTATACATATTTGCAACTTGTTTGTATGATAGTGGATAGGGTAGGTGGACAGAAATAGGAAACTTCATATCACAGGTATTTAAAATATAAAAGGGCACATGCCTGTAATCTCAGCACTTGGGAGGCTGAGGCAGGAGGATCACTGTGAGTTTGAGACCAGCCTGGGCTATATAGTGAGTTCCAGATCAGTCTCAACTACATAGTGAGACCCTATCTCAAAAACCCAAAATAAATAAATAAAATATAAAAGGTATGGGGCCAGGGATTTAGCTCAGTGGTTCTGACACCTGCCTTGCAAGTGCAATGTCCCGAGTTCAATCCCCAGTACCCTCAAAAATATATTAAAGGTACAGCTAGGGGTGTAACTCAGGAACAGAGTACATCTTAGCATGAACCAAGGTCCTATATTTAATACCCAGCACCAAAACAAAATAAAATAAATCATAAAAGGCTTATTTATCACAAGTATATAGACCAATGTTGGATCAATCAGAGGGTTCTTGTCTCATTATAGTTTTTCAAGGACACAGGTAGAAGGAGCAGCCACAATTTCAAAGAGATCTAGAAATCCTCACAATGGCAATTAGAGCTTTCTCCAGGAAGTGATATATGGTAATTGGAACTCATAGTATTTTGACAAAACTAGATATCTAGCTGCCATAATCAAGCCAGGAAGTGCAGAGAGAGAGAGAGAGAGAGAGAGACAGAGAGAGAGAGAGAGACAGAGAGAGACAGAGAGAGACAGAGAGACAAAGAGAGAGGGAAATATTTGCAAGACAGAACTAAAGACAATTTCATTACTTTATTTCTCAAATGAACGTGCATTAAAGTATTATGGCAATCACCTTGGCATACTTGTTCTGCATGACATTCAAAAAGAAAAGTAACTCACCTCAAGTAGTTTAGGATCCCTCTTCGGTGCAAGCAAATCTTGAGACACCAGAAGAGGCTCGCTTTTCTCACAGCTCTCCTGGCTGATGAGGGTATCCGCGTAGTTGGGTTGTGGGTAGATGAAGTGGCTCTTTCTTGAGTCTGCTGTGAGTGAGACCTCATGGGAATAGGTCTTCCAGAAGGTGTGCACATCACCATCCATGCCCACAAAGTGTGATGCCGGTGTGCCAGCCAATCTGCTGCTTGCAGCCTGAATCAAGCGACTAGTGTGCCAACGCCTCAGCCTGAGCCCCAGCAGCATGATGATAAATGCCAGGAAAACACAGGAGACAACAGCCACGGCCACCACCAGGTAGAGTGTGAGGTCAGAATCATCCGGGTTGGTGGGGGTTCTAACACTGCCTAGGTCTGCTAAGACGTCAGGAATTCGGTCAGCCACAGCGATGGTGAGAGTGACAGTGGCTGAGAGGGGGGGCTGGCCATGATCCTGCACAGCCACCAGGAGGCTCTGCTTGAGGGCATCTCGGTCCAGCAGGGCCCTTGCTGTGTGCACCTCCCCTGTGTGCAACCCCACAGTGAAAAGTCCTGGCTCACTGGCCTTGAGCAGGTGATAGGACAGCCAGGCATTCTGGCCTGAGTCTCTGTCCACTGCCACCACTTTGGTCACCAAGTATCCAGGTTCTGCAGAGCGGGGTGCCAGCTCCACACCAGCAGAACCATCTGTTGGGAGGGTGGGATACAGAATTTTGGGCATGTTGTCATTCTGGTCTAATATGAATAGGCTCATTGACACACTGGTGCTGAGTGGAGGATTCCCACTGTCATTGGCTGTCACCAATATTTGCAGGTCTCTAAATTCTTCATAGTCAAAAGAACACAGTGCATACAGGACACCAGTGTTGGAGTTGATGGTGATGTAGGAGGACAGTGGTGCCCCTTGGTGGGTATTCTCTGTCACTGAATAAGTGATTTGAGCGTTGTTGTCACTGTCTGGGTCCTGGGCAGCCACTGAGAAGATGGAGGCTCCTCTAGGGTTATTTTCAGGAATGTAGGCAGAGTAGGAGGATTCAGAGAAGGCAGGTGAGTTGTCATTGATATCTGTTACATGCAAAGTAATGTGAGTTTCTGTGGACAGAGGTGGATTTCCTCCATCCGTGGCTCTCAGGGTAATATTATATTCAGATACTTGTTCACGGTCTAGAGATTCAGCTGTCACTAAGCGGTAATATTGGTCTATTGATTTTTCTAAATTAAATGGCAGATTTCCTAGGACAAAAACTGTGACTTGTCCATTCTGCCCAGAATCTCTGTCATGCACATTGATAAGAGCAATTTCTCTTCCAGCAGTATCCTCTTCTGGGACTGAGCCTGTGAGGGACGTGACTGTAATCTCTGGGGCATTGTCATTCACATCCAGAACTGTGACTAGAATCTTGGCTCTTGAAAGAAGACCTGGGCCATCTTGTGCTTCAATTTTGATTTCATAGAACATAGAATCCTCATAATCTAGACTTTTCAATATTGCAATGTCTCCAGTCACCGAGTCGAGATTGAAAAGCTGAGCGATTTTGCCAGGCATTTTATCTAGGATATAGGTCACCTGTGCATTGAATCCCTCATCAGGGTCAGTGGCATTCACTGTGACCAGCCGTGTGCCCACTGGCACATTCTCTTGAACACTTACATGGTATTCAGGCTGAGTAAACAAGGGTGGGTTGTCATTTGCATCCAGAACTATCACTTGGAGGCACAAGTTGCTGGAACGGATAGGGTCACCACCATCGGAGGCAATGAGGTCAAGCCGATGAACTTCCTTTTTCTCACGGTCCAAGGTCCGCTCCAGCACCAACTCTGGGTACGTGGCCCCATCAGAGACACTATTTACAGCCAGAGAGAAGTAGTCATTGGGGCTGAGGTGGTAGTTCTGCAAGGAGTTCATGCCTACATCTGGGTCAAATGCAGTTTTAAGTGGAAATCGAGTTCCAGGAATTGTTAGTTCACCAATTTTTACTTTCAATTCCTCTGTTAGAAAATTAGGAGCATTATCATTAATATCTTTAATTTCTACTTCTACTTCAAAAATTTTCAATTTGTCCTCAACCAGGATGTTAAATTTTACGAGACACTGCGCTCTCTGAGCGCACAGCTCCTCCCGGTCTATCCTGCCCGCGGTGACCAAGCTGCCGCTGCCGGGGTTCAGAGAGAAAAGTTGCGTCCTACCTCGGGAGACGATGCGGACTCCGCGCTCCGCCAGCTCTTGGGGCTCCAGCCCTAGGTCCTTGGCGATGTTGCCCACGAAGGAGCCTTTCTCCAGCTCTTCAGGCACCG